ATGCAGAGTCAAAAGCCAAAAGTCAAAAAGATTTTTACCCAATACCAGGTATGATTTGAAAATAACCGGACTTGCCTGGGGCCAATTCTAACTGTCTGGACCTTAAACAAATGCAAAACACAGGCCCACAAGCAGAAGAACCCAAGATAGTAAAACTGTAGGTGTCCTTTCCATGGGCAGGGAAAGGGGTCCTGGCCGAGCCGCTGGACTAGCTGAAGTAAGCTGTCTTTTTTCCGTCCTTCAGCTTAGAACTGCTGTGTTTCCTGACTCCCCCCACCGACACCCTCTTTTCTTGAAAAACCTACTCATCACCTCTTGACACCTGCTGTCCAAAATCTTATCTGCTGGCACCACCCACCCTGTAAGATGGTGGTCCACAAGAGGTGGAACAAATCGCAGTTTCTGAAAAAGCGGCAGGTGAAGATGGTTCACCAGTACTAGATGCTGGCTGTGTAAGCCAGATGACCTGAGTTTGGTCCTCGGACCCCACATGAAGGCAGAAGGAGAGAATGGCTCACCGTGGTGTGTGTGGCATATGCCACAATAATAATAAAATATTTGAAGTGTTTTACATTTGTTTATTTTATGTCACGTGTCTAAGGTGTTTTTGTCTACAGGTATGTATGTGCACCATGGGTGTGCTGCTCAGAAGAGGAAGTCAGGTTCCCTGGAACTGGAATTGTAGTTTGTGAGCCACTGGACGGGTGCTGCGCTGGAAGAGTAGCGGGTGCTTCTAACTGTTGAAGCATCTCTCCAGCCCACTGATGTCGTTCAGCGCAATGGGGTCTTCCCTTCCTCCTTTCCTCCCTTCCTCCTTTCTTGTTTTCTTCTTTCTTTCCTCCTTCCTTCCAGCTATCCTTAAACTCTCAGGCTGATACCCAATTTGGCCAGTTCCACAGACTCAGCAGGTTGTTGTCACCATCTTTTGAACACACCGAGGAACAACATGCACATGTAGCTTCTAGTGTCTACAGCTCACTCTAGTATGAACAACATGAAGAGACCCACTGTTGAGAAAGTGCTTTTGGCCTTGTCTGTGTGGTAGGGACCCATCTTCTCTTTGATCCTCACACCCTGGGATCTTGGGGTTGACATTAAGGAAATCTTCTTGCTTCTTCAAGAGCCCCTGGGTGTTACAGGCCTTCCTTTTAGCATGTGCCCTGAGGGTAAGGCCATGGATGCCCACATAACTAGAGAGATGGCCCCCACCATGGAAATCAGGACAGGCGTGGTTCTACCCTTCCTGGGATGAAGGCGGACACACACAGCAAATAGTCCTAGCTGCCAGGAGGGAGGAGAAAAGGCTCAAGGATGAGACGTACTACACTTGTCCTGAGCTCTAGGCAGAACTAGGACAGCTTGGAGTGAGAATGTGAGTAGGAGAGCAGGTAGCTACTCTCAGAGCTATTCTAGGAGTCTCAAGGAGCAACTCAGTCTGGAGCTGTTCTGTGATTGGAGGTGGTCCCCACAGGCATGGGTGGCAACTGAGGGACTTGGAAAGAACTAGGAAGAAGGGGCTGACAAGGACTAAAAGCCAGCCCGAAGACCCCTCTGGAAGGAAAGGAGCTGCCAGTGGTCCAAGGATAATGATGTTCTAAGGACAAGGTCGCAGAGGGAGACGAGAAGTGAGTGGGGCTGTGCAAGCCTGGAAGTGGGAACACAAGGCGGGAGCTTGGGAAATACTTGGAGAAAGGATACCAGGCCTAGATATGCTTGTTTGTTCTTGTTTAGCTCATCCTCTTAACTGCGGCTCAGAGCCCCAGCTGTGAAGACCACTGTGCGTCGCTGTGCACCTGCCAGATGGCTCTCTGCCTCTCGGTTGAGTACACTTCTGCTAACTGGCATGACGGGCTCCAAGGCCACCCTCCACTGGAGCCCATCCCAGAGTGACAGAAGCATGTTATGTGATCAGGTCATCATCTTGCCGTGGCTCACTGTGTTGTTCATGGAGTTGCCAGCGGAGAGTTGAGCAGAGCTGCGTCCTAGGCCAGATGGCGTGCTAATGCCCAACTCTACCAGCCTTTACAGCCAAGTCCAGAAAGAGAATGAGCTGGACCCAGCTTGGCTTTCCTTGTAGTCACATTGGCTCCTTGTTCTTGCCTATAATTCCAAAAGCCTGAATACCATTTCTCCAGGACTGATATTCAGGCCTGGGGTCTGACTTGATGGGGAATCATCTTGCCACCAGACTCCCCCTGCCCATTTGCCTGGAACTCTGCCATTGGACCACATCTGGTGGGCCGTTTCCTTTCTCCACTTCTCCACATTTTAATATTTTCCTGGACCGGAGAGTGACTGGCCACCATGATGGCAAAAGCACTGTGACCTCAGAGAAGGAAGCCCAGACACAGTCACTCTCCCACTAGGAGCTGGAGGCCTATGAGACACCGCTGGCTCAGGCTCCTCCCTCCGCCAGGCAGGGAGGTCAGCTGCTGCAAATTGCTAGTTATTCCTTTCTTCAATTAAGAACAATTCTTCTGATGCAGGAAGTTGACTCCCACCAGTTAATCTAATGGCCTTGAGATCCGATGTGTTTGCTCTGTCTGAAGGCAGGGCTGAGAAACTGCCTTGGCAGTCACTCCAGGTCTACGCATAGAAGCTGCCTGAGAGGCCTGGCTGTGCAAGCCTTTGCTGGGCTCCACACCCACCCCTCAGGAAGCTTCTTGCTGGCTGGGGTTGCAGAGAAGGGAGTCAGGAAGTCTGCTTTCTCACCTGGCCAATCTGGTCCATTGTCATTCCATATGAGGAATGGAATGGGGAGCTGTAGACTTGTGAGGTGACTTTGCAAGTACCCGTCTGCTTGGCACCTCAGCTGTGTGATCTACCCCTGCCCAAGGTCAGTAGTCTAGAGCTTGGGATGGCCAGACTCCCAGAGAAGAGGGTCTTGGGGGCTCCTGTGTTTTTCTGGGTCTCTGTGTATATGAATGTGCACATGGGGATCCATCCATATCCATGTATACTCATGTATATGTGTGTGCACAAACGTGTGTGTATGGATACACACACACACCCAGCTGGGCCAGGAAACAGGGCTGCTGTCAATTCGTGGTTCCTGTCCCTGGTGTGAGCCAAGACCTGGGCTTGGGCTTAAGCCCAGCTGTGCCCCTTCTGTGACTGGTTGATTATGCCTTCTGTAATCAGTGGTGTCCACTGTCACCACTCATGTGCCCACAGACCAGGTGGCCAAATTGAGACATTGTACAAGCTTCTAGGCCTCTGAAACTCCCACAGTTGAAGGGGAGTCTGAGGACAAGGAGACCCAGAGGGATAGATAACAGGCCTGAAATGGAATTCTGTAAGACCACGAGTCATGGAGCCCTGAAGTTTCTTAGCCTGTTTCCTCAGTGTAAACTGGGGATAACACAATACCCTTCAGAGGGTACATTGGGACTTAACAAAAGTCCATACAGAAAGCCACACACAGACTGCTCGTTCAGTAACATCCACTGCAGTTCCAGTATGGGGGAGCAGTCCAGGGTTAGGGATGGGTTGGAAGTATCCACACCCTCTCTCTGGTAGCCAATAGCATGAGCTGGTGAGCAGCTCTGAATTTATGACTTTAGGGCTTCTGAACTTCTATGTCGACAGGAGTCTGTGTTGTCTGAGTCTGGAGTCCTTGGGACTAAAGGGTTTCTTGAGAGGTGAGACTTTCATAGCTAAATCTAGAACAGTCCTTGTCAAAGCATAGTGGCAGAGAGGATCCTAGGAAGCCCTGGTTTGGTAGATGAGGCATCAGAAGGCAGAGAGACCATGGGTAGGTGGTGCAGGATTCAGACTTCTACTCAGGTGAAGAACACTTTACTGCTAGATCCGTGTAAAAGTTTTGGAAAGGCTCTCGCCTGAGGTGCTGAGTTCACTGCCTTTGTTTAGAATCAAGAGGGAACTGAAAGAGCACTCCTGATTAACAGCGGCGGTGTGTATGATGGGCTAAAGGTCCATGGAGGACCCTTGTGTGCTCTGTTTCCACGGGACATTGGATACGACACTAAAGTCCTGGCTGGCTCACAGGTGGAACTATCTGGTGCACAGGGTGGGTGCTTGACTGCAGACTGTGGGAGAAATGTAGAGTTCAGGAGAGACCCAGCGGGCTTCTGAAGAACCTATCCCTCGCCCTATCCAACAGCAGGGAGCTAGGCAGAAGGCTGGCTAGGCATTAGGCTCACAGAGGTGGCCTAGAACTGAGCTAGGGAGAGGACTATTCTCTCTTGGACACTATCTTCTAGACTCCATCTAAAATGTCTGGCCATCTCCTGTGGGCCCTCTAACTGCATTGGGCAGAAACCACTATTTAAATGTTTCAGGAGACCTGTTAACTAGAATGCCTGCAATTCCATGAGAAAAGTGTTAAGGAATACTGCTTCCTACCAGTCCCTCTCCCCCCCCCCCCCCACTTGCTTAGCCTGGATGGCAGGTGGGATTTGCAAGTTTAACGGGTCCTTTAGTCTAAAAGGACAAAAACCCTTTCTTCTGCGCTAAAGAAGATCCTAGCACCGTGAATTCTTGGACCCAGGAACTGATGAAGAAGTCCCCACTGCCTCTCATCTGTGTAAGACTTCGTTCATTCTAGGTTTTTCCGGCTCTTGAGTCTTGGTTTCTCTTGCTCTTGCCCTGTCCTTCTCACTGGCCCTAGCCAGCTCCGATTTCCTTGAATTTCTCTTTCCCAAGGGTGTTTTTGCCGTAGGAGTGTCTCTTTCTGGCTCAGTGTCTCAGGGTCACTGCGCCCCAGGCTTGCAGACCTTGTCTCCATCCCTGTCCAGCTTTCAGCGTCTCTGAGCTGTGAACCCTATTCTGTCTACGTCGGCGGCTCGCCTCGGGGTCTCGGTGGCCCCGGCCCGTGGGCTGCGCCTCCCCGCTGCGGTGGCCGCGCGGCTTGGGCGGGAGTGCGGGCCCGCGGGGGCGGTGTCGGGCGCCTTCCGTCGTCAGTCCCTCCCAGGCGGCGCGGAGGGGGGGGCGGCGCGGCCGCCGCTCGGCGCCTTTAAGGGAGCGGGAGGGAGCGGAGAGGCGGCGGCTGCGGTGGCGGCGGCCGAGCAAGCGGGGCGGGGGCGCGGGGCGCGGCGCGCGCGGAGAGTCCGCTCCGGCCGGAGGTGCCGGGGCCCGGCCGGGAGCGAGCAGCGCCGGCAGCTCAGCGGAGCCCGCCGCCTGGGACATGGCCAAGGCGGGCGGCGCAGGTGAGCGCGGCGCGGGGCGCTCGGCGGGTGGCGGGAGGGATCCCGGCCCAGGTGAGCCCCTCGCCAGGTGGGCGGAGGCACAGAGACCGTGGCGACCTGGCCGGACCCCCGGGCTTTCATAAGGGGCTCCGCGCTCCCCGCGTCCTTCCCGCGCCCCGGGTCACCTCGCGGGACACGGCATCATGCTCTCCCTGCAGCAGAGGGTCAGGTCTGCGCCTCCCCTGTCCAGTCCGGCAGTTGGGAGCTGTCGCTGCCCTCCGAGAGGCCCGGGAGTAGACCCCTGCACCGGGACCCAAAGGGGATGTCCCGTGGCCGCCTATCCAACCCACGCCCAGCTACGCAAACCAGGACGCGCCCCCTTGTCCTGTCACTGTGTAACCTGAATGCGACAATCCCCCACCCCCCGCTGACAGCTGGGTCAGGAGACCCGGATTCCTGGTCGGACCGCAGGAGGAGTACTCCACAGCTGGGGAGCCGCCCCGCCCCCCACCCGACCTGGAGGTAGAGCCTAGCCCTAGGTGCCAGGTTAAGCAGGCGGGGCATCTGCTGGGGTCCCATGGGCTCTGCTTTCTCACAAGCTCTGTGCTATAGCCCGAGGATCTCAAGGAGTGGGTGTTATTCATTCCTTCATTCATCCAGCCAGGGGTTCATTCACCAGCATCTGCTCTGGTGCCAGGCCCTGAGTTGGCTGGGACCTGGACAGGATCAGATTCAGTCCCCTATTTCTCAATCTGCACCCTGGACTCCCATCGTACCCTGGGAGGCCAAGTTGAAGAAAGCCTGTGTTCATAGGGCTTGTCACACGCAGGCAAGGCTGGTCTCAGCAGTCCTGAGCTTGGGAGCTGGCGTGTGAGAATCTACCGTGAACTCACACCCAGCCTGTGACGTTGGCAGGTGCCATGCCATCCCCGTGGGGCCTGGTGTGAACGCCACTTCTCCACCCATAAGGCATGGTAAGGATGGAATGAACATGGCCATCTGTCCACACTCTGGACGTGAGTGCCACTGAGCAGCCTGTGACCCAGGGACAGGTCCCAGTTCTTGGACTTGCCCTGGCCTTGTGACTCAGGTGCCTGAGACTATACTCCCTGCTATTACAGTGAAATCTTGTCAGGGAGAAGCTGGTTGTGTGAGGCAGCAAGAACCAAATGCATCTAAACACCCCTTTTCCCACTTCCCTCCCCTGCCCTCCTGAGAGAGGCACAGTGAGATGACACCAGGAGGCTGGAAAAGGCTCTGCTCCCTTCTTTCTCCTGCCTTGGTCCCTCCCTATCCCCGCTTTTCACAAAGGGAGGGCTCATGTTTCTGTCTCTTGCCCACTTTGCATGTGCTCATGTGTGTGCAGAGGTCTGGACGCCAGGATCCAGGTCTCTTGCCAGGGCGCCACAGTAGCAAGAGCAGTTAAAGCAATCCCTTCTTGTACTGTGCACCAAGTAATGTGCTAAAGCCCTTTACTGCCCTGTGATCCTGAGAGGTAGGGTGGCACTCCCCTTTTTAAATCCTTCAGAAGCAAATAGCTCCCTCCAGATGGCTGGGGGCTGAGGGGTCTGGGCAGAGCCTGGATGTCAGACCAAGTTATTTGGATGCTAACGAATCTTTCCACTCCCCTTCCCATTCTGGGAGAGGGCCGGCCCCAGGTCCTCTGCAGTGGCTTGTGGGTCCTTTGGTCCCTGGCTGAGGTCCATGGGGATGAGTCCCTGGTGAAAGGTGAAGAAATTGCCAGGCCTCCCAGCACGGCTGCCTGGAGCTGCTTTACAACTTTGTGATTTCACACTCAGTCCTTTCCCTTAGGGCAAATCAGACTTCCCTCCTCTGTGACCCTGCTGCTTGGTGCCTCTATCCCTTACTCAGCTGCCACCCCAAGGAGCTCTGCAGATGACCTCTGGCAAGATCTGACTACTCGGCCCTTCACAGCTCTTTAAGGCAACTCTGGCAGCTTGCTAACATCTCTTCTCTTCTTTAGCTGCCTAAACTCTGTGACTTAAAAATACACAGTAGAGAGGGAACCAACCCCATTTATGTTGAACGATATAGGCAGACTTTAGAGCCAAGTCCTTCTGTTCATAGCTAAGGAAACGGAGGACCAAGGAAGAGATACGCAGACCAAAAGGCAGAAGGATCAGGCCTTGGCTTTGAGAGGTGAGGCTAGAATAAAGAGAGGTTGTAGGTCTTGTGTAGAGGTTGTAGGACATCTTGCCCATGTGAGAAGGGTCTGCTTCCCAATTTGTGTGGGGTTTCCTCTGAAAACTGGCCAATAGCCCAGCCACCGAGGGAAGAGATGGGATTTGGGTCCTGAAGCTGTTGTGGTACCTGATTCCAGGTCATCACCTCGTGGTAAACGGCAGTGCTTGAGTTGTACAGTGTATAGCCTGAGCTGAGCAGCCAGCCATGGCTGTGCCGGCTGTGCCAGGAGTGGAAGGAAAACACTTCAAGGACTTTCGTGTAGCTAGGAGAATTCAGGTACAAGAGAAAATGTAAGCAGATCCCAGAAAGGATGAGATTAACTTGCAGAGAGTGGATCCAACTTGATTATTACCAGTTTTCAACCTCCAGGCAACCTCAGCCACGTAGGAATCATTTTAGTTGGCCAGCCCCAATACTTGGAAAGGAAGAACACTCCTTGGTCTTGCTCCATGGACAAAAGAAAGACAGGATGAAAACCAGTGGTAGGGTGGGGAGAAGGAGAGGACTGGAAGGCTATAAAGGAAATGACGGTTCTCTGTACAGAGCCACCGGTGGGCCAGAAGAGGCTGCAGGTTGGAGCAGTGAAGACTGGACTCTCTAGTTGGCTCTTCGAGGCTAGCAGAGTTTGAGCAGGATGATAGTAAGGGCCAGGCTTCTTGGTTCTGCAGAAGTTTCAGCAAAGGCTGGGAGGCTGGATAAAGGGGGAAAGAGCAAGTGTACAGGGGCTGCCACAGAGAAACCCAGCTGATTGGGGTGCTGGGTTCCTAAAGCCTTGGTGCAGAGGTTGGCAGGAACTCCAGAGAGCATGGGGACCAGCAGCGAGATGCTGAGCCTCGTGTGTTTGGACAAATCCCTCTGGCTCACTGTGAGGGTTCTGGAGGCTGGAGAGCTGCCAGCATGGGAGCTGCCTCTGTTGGGAAGGGCTTGCTCTGCCTTCTGCCAGCAGTCCTGCCCCTCCCTTCCTGTGAACCTTGCTACCCCCCCCCCCCCCCTTATCCCAGTGCACCAACAGGCTTGGTCTGTCCCCAGGCTAGTGCAAATTGGAGACATGGGTCCTTAGGCAGACTGAGCACATCAGGTAGCCAATAGAGTTTGTGAAGCTCTAGGAGAAGGACAGGAATGTTTGAGGAGCCCAGAGCCCATGCCACAGGGCTGGGCAGGCATTCCAGGCTGGACGAACCAGTTTGTGCCATTTCCAGGTGTTGGCTGAGGGAGGACAGCAAGACTAGTCATCAACGGCACTAAAATACCAATCGGATACTTGGAGGCTTGGGGGGAGGTGCTTGCAGATACTCAGGTTGAGAAGGGGATGTGGAGGCTTAGGTGTGTGCTCAAGGTCACAGGAAAAGGTAACAACAACAGACCGGAGTGCTCTAGGAGGTGGGTGTGTGTTCTCACACCTCTGAAAGGGACCAGGGAAGCAGACCAGGAGAGAAAACAACCCAAAGTTTGGGGAAGGGACAAAGGCTGGTCTTGCACTTTGGGAAGAGGGCAGAAGAACTGAGCCACATCTGAGAAACTCGCAGACCTAGGGCACCAGGACAATATCCCTATGTATCTTGGGAAAGTTACCACTCTGCAAAGGGCCTGCCGTCAGACTCCAGGACTTCCTCAGACGCTGCCTCCAGGAAGCCTTCCTGGGCTTGCTGCAGTCCCGCAGTGCTTAGGTTCTTGTGTGAAAACGTAGTCTCTGTGAAATCTCTTGTCACAGCGGCTGACACATAGGCTGTAGTCTGAGACCCTTCACAACCTCTTAATCCTGGTGTGGTTTATTATATGAGCAAAGATGGTACAGCCCAAACAGAAACTATTAGCATGGGACTTTTACTCCTTACTCCCATTAGAGGTCCCTGTTCCTGGGTCTGTTTGGGGGTATTACTTTGGGAGACATACTAAAGGTGGTTACCTGTGCTCACTACTGCTCTCTGGAGCCCTGTCTGCAGCTGGCAAAGTGTGATAGTTCCCAGTCAGAAGTCTGGAGACTTCTAGTTCACTTGTTAAAAATTCACGAGGGGAGTGGGGTGTAAAAGAGATGGCTCGGTGGCTAAGAGCACTTGTTGCTCTTGAAATGGGCCCAAGTTCAATTCCCAGAACCCACGTAGGGAATAACCACTATCTATAACTCCAGTTCCAGAGGATCTGATGCCCTCTTCTAACCGCTGTGGGCACCAAGCACACACATGGTATACACACACACACACACACACACACACACACACACACACACACACCAAACACTCATGCATAAAATAAGATAAACTAATCTAACATAAAAAATTATGATGGGAGGCAGAGTCCAGAGAGGCAAAGGGTCCCTCCCTGAATCAAGGGCAGGAATGTGAACTCGAGAGGTTTCTGAGAAAGAACCAGCCACTTCCCAGGGGTGCTCTGAGATGCCAGGTTTGCAGAAAGGAAGACAGACCAGGGGTTTGCATCTGGCCCTTTTTTATGGAAGCCCTTAGCATTATTTTCTGTCTGATGGCCAGACAGCACCTCAAGGTGAGGTCGGGGGCTAGGAAGTGTACGAATGGGTGATTGGGTACACATACAATCACAATGTTGTTCCTATCTTGTAGATGGGGAAACTGAACCTCAGAGAGGTTGAGTAACTGGTTCTAGACTCACCCGCAGACTTGGAGGCAGGCTGAAACCAGCAAGTAGAGTTCTTTCATTCTTGCCTCCAACATTATATTGTCTAATCTGGCACGGGGCTGACCTTGAACAGCTTCCTCTGAGCCTCAGCTTTTGCATCTGTAAAAAGGAATGAGGAAGAAGAGTGTGGGTTCAGGAGGGGCTGGAAGTTCTACTTAACTCTC